AAAATACATTTCAGCGGTACTTCCATGAACACACAGAAGAAGAGTGGAAGTGAAAATAAAAAAACAGATTAAATGTTGAGGGTGACTGAGGGTTACTTTAACAAATACTAAGCCACGAATTTTGAGGCTGGTTACCTAAGAAATAACAAGAGATGACAGTCGGAACGAGAAACTAAAATCGAGACAGATAGAGCTGCACTCCAATTTAATGGGATTTTATGGATGGCGGCCAATTATTTAAGTAGTATGTTGTCATCAAATGAATTTTAATACAGTTACACTTTACGTGTCAACTAGTATTAATTGATTAAGCCTGTGATCTTATTTGTTTGGTGTTAGATTTATTTGTATTGAAAAAATTTAAAATTTTTATGTTTTACGACTTAGAAAGTGACATTTATAAATATTTCGTAGGTCCATGATAAAACGGTTGGCGCCAGACCATTTTCCGACAACGACCCAGGCAGAGAATAACAACCACAGATAAGCGACAATACAATAACTGTCGTGTCATTTTTGTAAAAAGGTCTTCAATTATTGTAAAAATATATAGAAACTATTCACTCATAAACACTATACTATTTAACTCGCTTGAATGAAGTGTGACAAAGACCACAATTGACCAAAATTTTTCTCAAGAGCGGTATTTTGCTTTTTTTAAACTAAATATCCGATATAATCGAATTAAATTACCGGTTTTGAGCTTACATTAAATTGTAATTAGATGAAACAAAATGGATTCTATGTATTTTGAGGTAATCTTTTCGAAAAAAGGCAAAACAAAATGTAGCAGTTTTTCGAAATTGCCGAAATTTTGGATTTTGTCATTTTTTCAATTTTGCGCATGCGCATGTCGCAAATAAATCATTATTTTTAAAACGCAGTTTACGACAATTGAAAGCTTAGAAAAAATGCTAATTTTTATGTCTCCTGAGAAATTTTGATCGGATGCACCGTTCTCGCGGTATGGACGATTGAAATTTGTTTAGTATTTTGAGGGCGGCGAAGGTCGAAAAATTGAATTTGTTAAATGTTCAAACACTAAATTCTTCATAACTTTGGTAAAAATTAAGATATTTGAAAAAACAAAAATTCGTTTTGAACTTAAGGGATGTGACTATTAATTCCCAGAAGGGGGCAAGAGAAATCCCAAAATTGGGCATATGGCGGAAGGGCAAAGTGTACCGCAAGCCTAATTTCATTGTTTGCCTATAACGGCCAAACTATTTAAATTTATTTAATGCCACTTACAGAGATATGAAATCTTATACGTGTGTGAATTTTACCGAAATCGGATTATAATTGGCCAAGATATCAAACAATTTATCAAATTTTTTTTTCCTAAAAAAAAACTAAATTTTTTTTTCGAAAGTTTGAAGTGGCACAAAAATGCCAAAAATGCACCCAATGACTCAAAACTTTTTTTTGAATACTCTATTATGTTTAGAATACGATTACATTACGGAAAATTTTGCAAAAATATTTTATCTATTTTTTTGACCACTGTTCATTGAGTGACGACCAAAAAACACGGTTTTTGAGAAAAGTTGCCTAAAATTGACGATTTTCAGTTTTTTGGTCTGAAAATTGAGCAAACCCAAATCTCATGTCTTCTCAATGTGTATACAAAGTTTAAAGTGTGTATGTTTCTTCTAAGTTGTAAAATTCTCCCGACAAAAGTCCCATTATACGCGCTCCGCGGGATCCAAAACTCGTGCATTTCTGTAAATTGATTTTTTTATAATTTCCCGTTTTAAATTTCTTACATACCTAAATTTATTAGGCCTAAAATTTATTAAATTGTATTTTACTGACTTGTTATAAGACGTTTCTTGAGTTTTGTGCAAAAAATAGAATTACCGCAAAATTAGCCGGGCGTCGTATCAAGGATAGTCATGGTCTCGACGTTCGCTATCCGACAAGTTTAAACTTGAATCGGTCATATTATTACAAATTGAATCGCTTGATAGTGTATATCGGCATAGATTTTTAATAACCGTGTTCAGCAAGCTCTGTGTACACGTGGTTTTTCGGACTTCTTCAGCAATTAATTAAGTAAGTACGTTCTTAAATTAAGAAAATTCTATCACAGTGCTATAATTTTTTTGTTTCCAGGTTGCAATGGCCACGGGACTTATTTTACTTGAGAGCCCACAAAAAAATACGCAACTTCTCTCATGGGCACATATGTCTAACATTTATAATTTTGCCACAAATTCATCGCAAATTTCATGTTCATGATTCTGATCAAAGAAACGAAAAAACAACTTTTTGGTAAAAGCACTTCTGGCGGCGAGAAATTCGCCATTAAAACTACCTATGCAATGAAATTCCGAATTATTTTTGCCTCCTCTTTCGATTGGTGCATTTAATTTTACTATCAGAATGATACTTGCCCAGATAATTAGCATTTTTACCATGGAAAATTCCGGAAAACCCGGTTTTTCCTAATTTAAAAAAAAATTAAAAACTGCTACATAATTTTTTTCTTTTTTTCGGAAAGATCACATCAAAATACACAAGGTCCACTTTGTTTTATCCAATTACAAATTAATGTAAGCTCGAAGGGGCTTTTTTTCGTTATTTAATTGGACTAATAAGATATCGGAATAAAATGAATATCTCGAAATAAAATTATTTTATTTTACTTTCTTGTGGAGAGTATTGAATTTTTATGGTTGTAAATGTCTGTTCAATTAGAGGATGTTTATTTTCCAGTAATTTTGGAAGCTTTTCTAATACATCAAAAACAGTATTTATCATGAGATATAATTATTATATATAGATCACATTGGCAACATCATGCACACTTCTGTTTAAATGTCCGAGTTCAGATTTATTTTTATAGCATGATTCTAGTGTCTCATAGTAATCTTTAGTTATATTCTGAAAAATAAATTTATAGTGTTTTCTTTCTTATTGAAAATGTGACTTTTACAAATGTGGCGGGGGTCGCAGGTTACTTGACAATTGTAGAAGAATATCGAGACTCGAAAAAGTTGGGAACCACTGGCCTAGATGATGATGATAATACGCTAAAAATCATGCTGAATGATTCACAATAAAATGAACGTAAGATTTCTTCTTAACTTTGATTATCCAATCATGGTGATCCCTACACCGTTTCTAAATTAAATTACAGACTTATCCCTGACTTATTTTACTACATGTGTAGAGGTTATATCTTAATACATAAAAGACACAAATGTAATTAAAAAAAAATGTCTATTATGCAAAAAGAGTGTCAATATACTTTCAGACCCTATATGTTTAACTAATTATATCTCTAATAACATTTGATTTACCTAGTGTGTTTTCAGAAAATGATTTGTTGTGAGTATTGTTAGAAATTCGTAGAGATTTTTTCTCGAATCAAACCCATCACAAGAGTTTTTACTAATACTCAATTAAAACTTGCATTATTTTTATTTACAATGTAATAAATGCCTAGTGAATACAAACAAAATAAAGCAACCTCGTCGACGACTATTATACTTCTCTAAACCTGCAGAAATTTCGATTGTGCTTTGTTTAGGTTGTCATGACAGTTGTTATATATTGGAAACATTGTTTTGTTTGGAATCCAGTGACGCCACACTATAGCGATCCATTAAATAAAATGTGAGGTTGTTATATTATGCGCTTTAGGAACTATTTTAATGAACATAAACAGAAAAGAGACTACTGGCAACAAAATACGTACACTGACCAGATTTACAGAACAGTAGAATAAATACATAGTCAACATTTTCAGTTTTTTTAGGCAATTTTAATTGATTTTGGAATGATTTCTTTTTGTTGTCAAATTTTTTGAACTGTCAATTAAAAAAGCGTATAACTTCGATTAATATAAATTTCATTGTAATCTTCAAATAGGTATATCACAAGATCCATAAAAATTTCTTATAAAGTAACAATTAACCATAAAAACGTATTTTACTAGATTGAAAATATCACAAATATATAAAGCTCACATGTGTGATCCACAAAAACCGTTTATAAAGTAAGCCATGACCGAAAAAGACACATACGAGTCATATCGTGATAACTAGATGCGTCTGAATTAAATTCAGTCATTTAAAAAAAAAATTGTACACACCGATATACGTTATTTATTCCATGGCTCAATTTAGAAATGTTTGTTATGAATCACTCCATATTATAACATAATTTTGGAAAATTTTGTAACAAATGCATCTCCATATTATTACCTTCGAAAACAACAACTAAATTTGAATGATTTACAACGTAGAAAAAGTTTCTACTGAGATTATAAAATAACCAGTTGCAAAAACGTTCATTCAAATTTTCGAGTACGATAAACTTTGACAGGTGCTTAGATTGTGAGTAATTTGAATTTCTCATCATCCAGACAAATTACATTCTCAAGATCTGTCAAAGTATAAGGAACCTTCTTGCAACCAACTGTACAGCAGTAATAGTAGTCAATTTCAACAAAAAACTATTTACATATATATAGGAAATGACAAAGGCCCAAGCACACTACCTTGCAGATCACCAAAGTTTACTCATCTCATATCACTAATGACATTACCAAGACAAACCTTTAAAATACCTCTCTAGAAGTCGAAACCGAATCAAAGGCTGTCGGAAGGTCAATAAATATGCATGTAATTTAATATATGACTTTATAAAAATGTATATTCCATTGATTTGCCGTCCCTAAAGTCATATCGATTGTTAGAAATATTTTTTTTTTATGTAATTCGTTGGAGTAATTAGAATTTTGTGTGTTTTAAGAAACAATCTAGTAAATAAAAAAAAAACGATTTTTTTTAAGAAACAATGATCATTGTACCTACATTTTAAAGCAAATTGAATGAAGAACTTTTATACTTTTCAAACGTTATATCTGAATACCTTAAAAGCTGTAAGTTCCTAACTAATTTATAAGATTGTAAATACGTATTCATAACATAATTTGCAATTCGTACATCAAAATTCCTGTATACTTGTAACAATTCCTATTTGTTAATGGGTTAATTCCCACCTCTGGGTTTCCTTCTAGTTTCCTGGACGGCCGCGACGAGGCTCTTAACGGCTTCTTCGTGTCCTAAAAATTGATAACTTCACGAAAAACGAAAAACACGTTGATAATAAACACCGAAAAAGAAGTACAGAGTGGCCAATTAAGGGCGCCAACGATGTGTAATATTTGTTATGAGCAATCGAGAAAAATCATAATTGGAGTTGGTTGTGAAATTTAAATGTTTTGGGTTGGTACTTTGCCCACTTCTACAGAATGCCATTTTAACCTTATAAAACTGAACGTTTGCGTCAAATTTGTGAAAAATTTTACTAAGATAATTCGAGAGACGCTAAAATGGTGGTTCTCACCTTATCGAGACTGAGGCCCACAAGGGTAAACTCGTAGCGTAAAAAAAACGAGAAATGATTTAATTTGGAGCGAAAGACCGAAAGCTGATAGTAGTATTAAGACATTGATTTTTTTAGTTTCTGAAGCATTGACATTACTTAAGGGTATAATAGCACCTCAGTTCAAATTTAAACATCGATAAATCGAAAATGCTGTAATGAAATGGACTGAAATTTTAAAATAACATATTATAGGAAGTTGTCGAAGGCCCCAATTTTTTTTTTTTTCTGAAAAGTACTTTTTGTTTCTGAGGAAAAAATTCGGTGACCTCATAAAATTGGAATTTTAGCAAAAGGATATGTCATGTCCTAGATAATGTCACAATAAATACACTATAAAAATTTTATTTCTTAATATCAAACGGTATTTAAAAAACACTTGTTCAAAATTTTGTATTTATATGCCTCTGGGTACTGCTGCTTCCTTGCGGATATTGTCGGTAACTTCACTCGGTACACTCGGAAGAAGGATACACCTTCATCCGATTTTGAAATGCAGGCGATTGCGTGTTTTGTATAGTAGGTAGTTTTTTTTATAGTTAGTTATATTTTATTAGTGGTGTCGCGATGGGCAACAAAAGAAATAATCGACGTAAAAGTTGTTCTATAAAAGGTAGATGGTAAGTAAAATATTTAAATTATTGAGGTAAAAAAATAATGGTAAATTATTTGTACATTTTAGTAAGGTCGAGTCTCGATGGAATAAAAGTCGTGAAAATATAGAAAATGTTCCTGGAAGTTCCCAACAAACTGAGGATGCAAACATTGAAATTGTGTGGGAAAATATTTATATTAAAAAAAAAATTGAAATTCAGGGGCGGAGAATTGTGGACGTTGCCTATTTTTGGGAACAAATTAAAAGTCAGTAATTGTTTCTTAAAATAAATACCTATAAACTTTGAATTTTAAGGATAAATACTAAATATAAAGATATAAAAATATTTTAATGTTTTAAAAGTAAACAAATTATTCATTATTTTTCAGATGAATTTTTCCACTAGAAGATCTTACGACACGCGCTGTCAGTTGGCGGCTATTTCATATAATTCTAAATTTCAATACTTAGAAGAAATAGCAAAAAGTATGAATTATCGTATTGGAATTCATATGAGTCGTTTTACTATACGACGAAAATTGAAAAGCGTTTCTCAAAAAAGAGTTAAGAAAGCTTTTCGAAAAAAAAATAAAAGGTGCCAAAGCTGACAAACACTATGGAGAAATCGTGGAAAATCTTACGGAGGAAGAAGTTTTACATCGAAAACAAAAACTGGTAATTTATTGCTAAAATCTAAAATCGAAATTCAAGAAATAGAAATTAACACTAGATGCCAGAGTTCAAATACACTGTGGAAGCAGGAGAGAGAGCTTTCCGAATTACTGCTTCCAATTTTGGGCGTGTTTGTAAAATAAAAGAATCAACAAATCCCGAAAAATTAGTTAAAAACATTTTATACACTACTTTTAAGGGTAATGAGGCAACACGTTACGGACAAGAGCATGAACCAGTAGCCATTCAAGATTTCGAGGACATAACGGGTTATAATGTTAGTAGTTGTGGCTTCTTTATTGGAAAGGAAAATTAATATTTTTTGGGTGCAAGTCCTGACGGTATAATCGAGAATGATCCAGACTCTATTTTGGAGATTAAATGTCCTCATGTTTTAAAAAATGCAACATTAGAAGATGCCGTAAAAAATAAAAAAGTTACTTTCCTTTTATTTAATGAAGTCAAAGGAGAATTTGAACTTAAAAAAAATCATGATTATCATTATCAGATTCAAGGGCAACTACATATAACAGGAAAAAAATATTGTTATTTTGTAGTGTGGTTCCCCCTTCAATCTCCATACAATAAACTAATTGAGGTGGTAGAGGCCTTAACTTGACAGGTCTCCTTTCAAAAATGTTAGTTTTTTGAAAAAACAACAAGGTTGTTTAAAATAAGCCTTATCTTTTAATCTGTTTAATGTATGTGATTTGTTTTGTATGGTCTTGAATATTTTAAATTTTTACTATTTCAATTGACTAATATTTGTTTTTTCAAATATTTTTAACTTTTTATTACTTGTAAACTTTGTTCATTTTACAATTTATTTCACCCCACATTTGATGAAACTTGTTTTGTAGTATTCCCTAGTGGATGGAGAGTATGGTGAGTTTTCTCTTTTTTAATATTTTATATATCGTTTGCTCCAAGTTAACACACCTTACACCGCATATTCTCCTTTCCACTAGGCGAGCCTGAAGATGAAGTGATGACACTTCGAAACCGGTCGCACTCAATGTTTTGTTAAATAATTAAACATTGACTTTCCTTGTGAGATATAAAGGACTTTTTCTCCCCCTTCACCTTAAAATTACCTCAACTCACACATTGGTTATTTATGAACCTCTAACCCATAAAATATTTTGCTGAATATCCGAATATCTTCTATATCCTGGGATATAGACGGACATTTGGTTGGATATCCATATTGGATATATTGAATATCCACAAAATATATTCTGTGGAATCTCTGTGATTTCTTGTATTTTCTGGAAGATACCCATTAGATATTTTGCTGAATATCCATTAGGATATCTTCTATATTCTGGATATAGACGGACATTTGGATATCCATATTAGATCCACGGAATATTTCTGATATCCTGTGGATATATTGGATATCCACAAAAGATATTCTGTGGATATATTGGATATCCACAAAAGATATTCTGTGGATATCTCTGGGATTTGGTGTGTTGTCTGGGATTTGGTCCCTTTTAAATATGCTCATGTAAAATTATATGATCCCTTTACTCCCTTAGATCTGTTCATGTAAAAATATTTGCGCCCATTGTCGCTTAAGCCTACCTACCTTTTTTTCATTTTGACAAATTTAATAATACCAATTCTTTGGGCAGTGCATTTATCATTCTGATAGTTTAAAAATAGTAGTGTTGGACGACTACTGATGTATTTTTTACATATTTTTTAAAAAATTCCTGTAGTTAAAAATTTTCGAGTTGTTTTTTGTCTTGGTTTTGGAAAAATTTACTAAAAAAGGTAATCGGTCTTGTAAATCTCTGATTTTCATGCAATGCATCTCATTAGCCGGACAAGATTCCATTATGCCTATTATTAAAGATTTTAAGAAATAAATACCTTATTGTAATATATGAAGAAAAACCTTAATCAATAGACTTGTATCGTCTGATGCTCGCTAAAAAAGTTGATGCAAGGTCTGGTATCACTAATTTTCATGAAATACATCTCATTAGCCCGACAAGGACCCGTTTTTTATTCGTTATTCTTAAAGGAGTACGTCAAAATTTTACCTTCAACATTTCTGGGCTGTTTTCAATAAGGGCGTTCAATTATTTAAAAAATAAAACACAATTTACAGATTTTATTTTTTGTTGTTAAACGTAATGTCAAATGTAAAATGTCACTATTCATTGCCTATTTTTCGTTTTTTTCAATTTTTGGTTTTTTTCGATTTGGAACGTACGATTTTTGATTTTCCGATTTTTGATTTTTCGATTTTTTTTTTTTGTTTTTCGATTTTTCTATTTGAATTTTTCGATTTTTCAATTATTCGATTTTTCAATTTTGTTATTTTTCGATTTTCGTTAGTGGGTCGTAAAAAAATATACTGTACAACTCGAGTGGATTGCCCATGTCCACTCTTGTTGCACAAACTACTAATTTTCTACACCCTCATGGATATTAGCTTATCTACGCACAGACTACAAAACGAAAAAGTATGGCATTGCGTTCAACTGAACGAATATATTTCATATACATTCTAGGTAGTGTGAACACTGCAAAAAAATTAAATCCACCAATCACAGTTTATATTTTGGACATCCAACTACCATTATTTTTGTAATTTTAAATAAGGTGTATGGTTGCCACTATGAAAGTCGCAACTCCCCTTAGAAATCTCACTGTTACAATCAGCAGGTGTTGTTTGACAGGTCGTTGGAGAATGTTTGCAATGATGGAATCTTAGGAATGATAGACGTTAGGATTGCTTGGAATGCGTAAAATTAGTCAAATAAGAAATGCATGGGATGATTTAAGAAAATTAATATTAAAGTAGTTAGGATGGACCGAAAATTCTGAAAATCAATAGGGTTCTAAGTTGGAAGCAATTATTCAAGAAAATCAAAACCGCAAGTCAATCGGAACTTTCGTTCTCGAGTTATCGTACCGGCATACATACACACAGACGACCAGACGAAATTTTTTTTTGCATTTTCGGACTCAGAATCATCGGAAACATGAAAAAAGTTTAAAAAAATGGGGATAAGAAAATTTTGTCGTCTGCACGAATTTAATACTGAGGCCCCACAGGAAGGGTCTCAGTAATTAAATTTAAAAATGGAATGTATTCAACACAGAGCAACATTTTTCGAATGTTGCTTCCATACAGGTATTGAAAGTAAATGGCGGGCGGCAGTAGTCAATTCCAGAATGCATGGCTGATTTTCTTGAAGAACATAGTGTTTGACTACAATGGTTTTTACAATATTTTGACAAATTATGTGTAGTTATTCAGAGACTGAATAGCGTCGGTTGAAAAGCTGGAAGTGTCTTTCTTTCACTGTTATGCATACAAGCTGCAAGGTTTTCATGAATTTTTTCCAGTGGATTATCCAAGACGAGTGGAATTTTATCAATCGTGCCAAAATAATCTAAATAATGAAGACATCCTTAACATATTTTTTTTTTAGTTTAGTTTGGTTTTATCTTTCTGGGTATATTATTTCACAGAATATATGAGGTGTTGGTCAACTGAAAAACCATTGAATCCCCAAAAACTTGGTGTTTGAGTTGGAAAATGTCAAAGAAGATTTTTTTTGAAGGCACATTTACTGCTGAACTATATCGCAATGAGATACTCACCAATTTTTGTAGTTTTATGTAAATTTGGATTATGATTTCAATATTAAATTGTTTCTTTTTTTGTTGCAGTATCATTTTGAGATAACTTTGTTTACAATGAAAATGTTATTAAGTAATAAATGTAATTCTGTGGAAGTGGCTAAAGTACCAGCCCAAAACATTTAAATTTCACAGCCAACTCCAATTATTTTTCTCAATAGCTCTTCATTACTATTATTATTACTAACATAACATAGAAAATAGCGTTGTATTTATGGATATTTCTAAATCACTAAAAGGTCATATATAATTAACATTCTTATCAATCTAAAATTGAGGTGGTTTTCAATAAAGACGATAATAAGGCGCGTCGTTTTAATTAGTTAAGAACATAACAGTTACTATGGCACACTAATTGGCCACTTTGCGTGTAATTATATATATTTTTTATTTTTTTATATTTCATTACCTGAAAATAATTCTGGGATTACCAGCCTAGGCTGCTTTTTATTAAGAATTCATGCAAAAAGTTATGTTTAATGTATAGTAAACGTTGCTTTTTAGGAAAGCAAAGCAAAGATAAAAGCACTTCAGTTAAGTCTGTACATACTAAATGAATTGTTTCACTAAAGACAACTTTTCAAGTATAAATTTTCGACTATCTGTAAATACTCAAATGTTAAATTTGGCAAAGGCCGTCATTATCAAGATTACTGCGTTCAAATTAAACTAATTTGCCTGGTCAAATGTAAATGGTACATTTTATTCAACAAAGATGAATCGAATGGCTAGATTAAACACCTCTTGATTTTTTTACGGGATATTTAAAAATGAAAGTACTAATATGTCTTCAACGTTAAATTAGCACTTGTCACATAGATACAATTTTGTCTTTTAAACAAATTAGGTACATTAATGTTTCTAATAACATCGAAAATTTTAAGTCCCATACAAGAAACGACACATTTACAATTTGGAAGTCTAATTCGTATTTATTTCTAGTATTTATAATATGGATTTCACTGTTTTAAAAAGTAGTCTTTATTTTGAAATAGGTACAGACCGAATACAGATAAACAATAAAGCAGTTTTGATCGAAATGTTTCTACGAAAGCTTGCTAGAACTTAGAATCTAAAAAGCAACAATTAGTCGATTTTTTATAAATATTGACCAAGAAGGTGATTTGCGTATTCAAACTGGATAATTAAGAAATAAAAAACTAGAATTGTATTTAAAGTGCACAGGCTGGCATTATATTAATGTAATGTCTTTATTATTAGTCTCACCTTTTCGGCTTATTAGGCCATCATCAGGACAAACAGATTGAGCATATCAAGAACAAGTAAAAAAGATTAACCATTCAAAAAACTTACTATTAACTATTTTTACTCGAGTTGTTCGTTTTTATGATGGATTATAATAATATAAGCCCAGCCTGAACACTTTACATACAACAATTCTAGTTTTATTGCTTGAAAAATATTGATATTTTCTTTTTTATGCTCGCCTCTATCAAATTAAACTAATCAAGATCCTAAACATTCTACGAGACATGCTATTAAATCACGTTTACCTTCAAAACTATCAGCTTTCCTGATTGGCGCCATCGGAGGAGTGGGCATTGACAATTTTTGATGGCAAACGTGATGTTTGCGTTTAGGCGGGAACGTTTCCCAGCTTCTCTGCTTCTGCGCCATGGACATGTTCTTGTTTCGTCTGTTAATGACGACGACCAGGGTCTTGTCGGGACCATCGAAACTGGATCGTCTGCTGGACGTGCTCAGAGAGTCGGCCGAATCGTGCATGGAGTAGAATACGTTGTCTTCGCCGTCGCTGTATGGATATACCTGACATAACAAGATCAAAAAACTGCTTCGTATATACGTTGTACAAAGAACAGTAATAGGATAATTGAAATGTTAAAGTTATTGGAGACAATTGCGCTTGAATCTATTGATACAATCATTTAAGAAATGATATTACTTGCGGGTCAGTTACGCCCTTTACGATACGTTAAATAAGTTATGACATAATTGTGGATTCACCGACAATCACAGTAACACCCTTCCTTAACTGATTAAAAACTATTAATTCAGGGTCCCCGAAAATTCTTCGAAAAGCATCTGATCAAACCAAATAATCGAAATCCACATATTATTGAAATTTTGAAATTCGAATATGTATTAAGTTATCAAAAATTAATTATTCGAAAATAAATTTAGATGAATTATCTAAAATCTTGCTCAAAAAATTTAATTGTAAATAATGTTATTTTATAAATAATGAAATAATTGCTAGAGTTTGGTTCATTTAACTACATAGATTTTAAATGTTCTAAAATTGGAAGTATTAATTACAGGGGGTGCTCTAAATCCGCACATGAACTCAGATTGGTGAATTTAAATGCAAAATATATTAAAGGAAATAGAAATAGTTTCCTAGTATACTAATTAAAATTAAAAAAAAATAACTAATTTACCTAACCTTTATGACCAGGAGCCACCGCTTACTTTTCAAGAAATATGCATAAATTAAAAAAAAGAAAAATCACTTAACTAATGTAACTAAGCTGTGCAGTCTTGGGCCCATTAAAATATGTGCAAACCAACTTTGACACAGATGAAATTTGCGTCGGATAAGTTATGACCATTTGAGTTCTTCCGTAGATATCTGAGATACTTCGAAAGTCAAAAGAGAATACAAGGATACAATTCGTCACATTCAATCATTGGTAGGAATATTTGATGTCCAATTTAATAATGAGTAAATTAAGTATTACAGCATTTTGAATTTAACTTAGTTCCTTTAATGTATATTTAAATGCAATAATATTTTTATTTTCTAAGATTGGGTGCATCATAGCATAATTTTAAATAATGTTCTTCATTTTTCAATTAATTTTATTTTGATAATTTTTTTTTTTCGATCACTATGATCTCTTGTTTTAAGATCAACTAATATTCGATCTTTTGTCTTTTCGATATCTTTGAAATTCGATAAAAAATGTTTCAGGTCAAATGCCATTCGAACAAAAACATTCGATCAATAGTCCGGGACCCATTAATTAACATGTCCGATTCATTATCAATTTCAAGTTTTTACCACTAACGCAACCTCTATTACATCTAGGCGCTCCAGGTATCAACATAACCGATTTAGAACCAATAATGAGCGGAATCAGTTTTACCGTGAACGCAGAATTAGAACAGAGTTCATTTTTTACTAGTGCGAGGCGAAAAGTTACTATTAATTCAGAATCAGTTCAGGATTTTTACCGCAAACGAAGTTTATATATTTTTAAAAGTTTGCTTTTTGTAAGACAAAGGTCGACGCAGTTTACTTAATTTATCGAGTCTCTATCTACAGGGTGCTGTAACAGTGTCGCGGTCTTTCATATAGGGTCGGTGACAAATTGGGTATTAGGGCCTATTATCCAATTTGCAATGCCTAATAATTAGGCATTGCAACGACTTGTCAAAATGCTGACAAGTGGGAACTAACAATTTAGACATGGCAATAAGGGTCAATGATACATATATAGTTATATAGATTGCTCAAAGCGGTTCGTTTGCGAGCGGCCATATTGCCTGGCAAGTGTTCATTAATTTGAATCGGTTTAGCAAAAATGTGTTTTAAAATGCCGTGGTACCGTCAGCGTCGCCAAGCTTCTAATTCTCTGACTCTAACAATAAGGTAAAAATTAACGATAAAATAATTTAGCCTGGTGCAAATGTGTACCAAAAAAGTGTAATTGGCTCCCGTATTATATGGACTCAATGACAGTTATTTAAAGTAACGATAATGGGAATAATCTTCGTAGTCAATCGAACAATTGTAAGGCGAGGACAAAATAATATACTAGATTCAATAGTCCTGCTCTTTTCGCGGATGAGTAATGCGAGTGTCGAATAACGGGAAAGGTGGATTCAATGAATAAATTCGGATGCGTAAATTTTATTTTTTAAAGAATGCGTATTAGAAATTAATTTTTTAGCGCAACACAGTAGTAAATGTACCGTAGATAGGTGTTTAACAGAATAATTTTAGTAAATTTCATACTGAAAGTTGGCATCGTCATGAACTGTCAATTTAATAATTTGTCAAGCATCAAATTAATATAATTATTTACTTTTAGCATGTAACAGCACTTAAATTCCATTTATATACTGTTAGTTTTATATCAGTAGCAATAAAGAACAGTGAAGTTCTAAAGTCACCACAAAAAAGCGCCGTAGGACAACGAAAGTCACCAGCTCAAGAATACTGGATACCACTATCATTTGAGATATTATTTATATATAGTATATACCAGTCGAGTAACTGTAGATTCTTTTATGGTGAAACTCAATGAAAGAGAGTTGTTCAATGGATGTCTCACATACCTAATAGAAATTGTTTTCAAATGGAAGAAAGGTGAACCAAGGGGAAGTCTTATGGAACTTCCTGATGACGTCGTGAAACACGAAGATTTTTTAAGAGAATATGTCAACGAAAAGGAAGTAATTGTATCAGTTTGTTTTTATTGACGAAACTTGGATTTTTCAAAATGGTGCGATAAACCGTTCTTGGCATGACAGCAATACAAAAAGTGTAAAATGTACAAGTTGATGGTAAAAGATTGTTTAAAAAATATATACATGTTAACTTTACAATATCTTTTTTACAGATACAGGGTGTTAGTATATTCGACCAACAACGCTCTACCACAGAGAGCTCTCGTTAACTGATTAATTTTAATGTAGGAACATGAAACTTTAAAGATCTTAGTTACCGAGATACAGGGTGTTAAAAATTTTAAAACAAAATTCAAAATTTGCCATAAATCAAGAACGTCTTTAAATGTTTTTTTTTGAAATTTGATTTTCCAAGATCATACAAATACACAAACTATCAAAAATTTGACACGTGCTTACTAGATTACAATTTAGAAATATTGAGTCGTTATAAATTATCTAAGTACAGAGTTTTCTTTAGAAGTAAATTTCTGCAACACTGTTTATTTTAGCTCCATAAAAGGATCTTAATTTTTAAAAAAATAATAAAAAAATGTTTGTTCTAGTGGCGTAAAAATAGGTGGAAAATTTTCCACTAACCTTTATAGTTCGCCACGGTTAAATTTTTAAAAAGTTAGTCTATGTCAAAATATTACTTTCTAAAAAGCATATTGGTCACCAAAATAAAAAAAAAATAAAAGTATTTTTAATTTACGGCAAATTTTGAATTTTGATTTCAAATTTTAACACCCTGCATCTTTGCAACTAAGCCCTTTAAGGGTCCATGTGTCTTTATCAAAATTCATCAATTAAAGATAGCTCTCTGGGGAATATACTAACACACTATACATAATTGTTGCTGGAAACGAAAATGGATTCATTGATGGCGCTGAAGCTATATTTACTTCAAAAGAAATCGATGTGATTATCATGGTGAGGAGATGACTATCGATTTTTTTTTAATGGAAATTTATTTTTTCTATTTTTTATATTATTTTATTTTTTAATAATAATCTAACAAAAATACATGTAGCTGATGTTCTAGATGAATAGTATGGACATCCAATAAAATTGATTTGGTGCATTTTAAAATAGTATTATAACATTCACATTGGTAGGGATGAGAAAACAGAGAGAGATTGTATACACATGTGATCTGAAGCACTCTGAACCATTACTCCACAAATTTGGGCAAACAGTGTAGGACACACTGAAAAATAAATTTTCAAATGGTATGAAAGGGGTGTATAATGGATAGATTAAAAATTGGCCCCATTATTATTCACCAAACAGAGATGATTTTGATTTAAGTTCTGATGGCATGTGTTAATTTTATTATCTAACACTATTACTTTTTTTTGCAAATTTTAAATAATTTTGTTTTAATGAATTAAATAATTATGTTTTATATATCTATTTCTATGTATGTATGTGATTTTACATTGTCGTGATTTTTTTTGTGGTATTTTTATGTGACCCGAGTTGGTTGCTTTTAGATAAGTATATTTTAAAATTTTTATGGATACTATTTAGAATAATAATTCTGTGTACCTATTTTTAAATGATATTATGTTTTTATTTAGGTCTGTATATTGTTTTGTGTACGATTTAGAATATTTATTCTTAGTGTATCTATTGAAATAAATATCTTTAAACTAAGCCAACATCTTTTTTACGCCATTTCAAACTTCAAGTGCAAAATTTTATTCAGATTTTTCGGAAAACTCCAATTATCCAATGTTTCCCTGCTGTTTTGGGAATTTAGCAACTATGTGAGCCGGTGGCGGTCTAAAATTAAACACGTCATCGATGACGTGCTTTGCAATTTATATAGGCCATATTAGTGTGACGTAGTTTTGGTTCCACTGACAGTTAACTTCTAACCAAACTTTTAACAAAAACAATTGAATTTGACATAAGTTTTTAATGTTTAGTTTTTTTTTTTTTAAACATTGTTTACAGGTCATAAAAAATAGTTTAAAGGTACCTAATGAAAGACCTGTGTAATGCCTCTGGCGCGTTAAAAGCAAAGAGTACCACGACAGGGGAAATAGGGAGAAGGTATAAAAATCTAATAGAAAAAATTGAGGAAAATAAATCCAAAAGCAGATCGTGATACAGGGGTTAAAAAAATTAAAGCCTTCCAAACGAACCAAAGAAGCGGGAAGAAAAAGCCAGCAGCTGCCAGCGCGTTGTCCTTCAACGATGACATGATTCATATTTAAACTGGCGCAATGTGCAAGCATACTTGTATGTGTATTCGACACATAGTTGTGCAATAAACTTGGATATGTATACTGTTCAAGTATACCGGTACGTCTATGGTGGCCTTAAATACAACAATTCGCCACTAATTATTACAGTTACCTCAATTTGGGCATTTTCAGAAATATGTTGTTTTTAAAAAGTATTCAATTATTTACTAAACGATTATTTGAGTATGTTATCTACTTACTTTAGGAATATATTTATAAAAGTTCAAAAACTATATAATTTAGGTAAACAAAACGAACAACGTCTACTGTCACTATAATTATTAGTGGAACCAAAATTACATCATTACTAATTTACCGTATTGAATCCAGTATAATTAGAATAAGGCGAAGTTGAAGCAAGTTGTCACAATTAATCCTGAAATCAATTTGAAGAATCGTGTATATTTAGTGCATTCGGATTATTTTGTTTGTAAAATGGCTGTGGTTATTTTCCATTTACCACAAACTATTATTTATCAATGACTGTTGTGTCTGTACATTTTAATAACTGATGATTATAAAAACTCTATATTTAACAGGTAATTTTTATAAAAATAGAACTAGTCGTGGGATTAGGAGAGCTAGGAGCTGGAAGCTAAAGCCTGATTGGGAAGAGCCTGCCAAAACCCCTCAGAGGGATGCCTGAAAGGGTGAAAAAAAAAATAGTGGAAACATAGGGAGGCTACTACACATCGAAAATTTAAGGTGGTTCCATCAATGGTGTAATTTTGATTCTGTCTGCAAAAGAGAGCTACTTTCGTACCTACCTTCTTTTTTTGTTGTTTTGGAGGCATGACACCCTTATTTTTACATTTCGGACTACTGGGACTGGATCTCGTCTTCAAATTTTGCGATGTAGCATCGGAAATTCTTTGATACTCAGATTCCCTTTTTCTGGTTTCACTGTCTGATTTACTACCGGGACTGATCTTATCGCAACTCTTTCCTATTTTCTTGTACATTATCCTTTGTTTCTGATTTAATTTACCTAAATATAAAGCAGGTCATTAACTACCTATATTTCTAAAGCCAAAGTTAATTTACCAATGGATCCTAAATCAGTACTGCTCATTTTTCGATCATCTTTAGATAATTTCCTGTCAGTCTCTGTATCAGACTTTGAACTTGGCTGACTCTGTCTTCGACTAATGATGTCGTGTATTTTTTCTTTAATTTGGGCTTCTAATCTATCAATGTTCATCTGTTGGCTACAAAAAAAAACAAATTTCACCAAAATTATTTATAATTTATTTTCGGCTTACCCTGCCATGAAAGCTTTTTTGGGGGTGGCCTTTTGAGATGGAACTACAGGTTTGTCACACTGTCCTGAGGATTTACTTCGTTCCCTTTCTTGTATGTTAGGACGGACTTTTTCAAATAATTGACCGAGTACTCTGCTGCGAGATCGAGGAATTTTGCCCATGGAAGGGTCAGACTGTTGTAAGATACCTAAAAAATAATAAGGATTCAAACAAGATAGGTTTTAAGTAAAAAAATTAGGTAAATATGCTTACCAATGTGTTCTAAAATATTTGCTAAATGTTGTGCTTGTTCACTTTGGCTTTGTTCGCTTTGTGCTTGAGCTTGTTGAGCAGGAGTTAAAGTTCTAATGAATGGTTCTAACTGGGTAGCCACCTAAAAAATGATCAGATGTTCAATTAAGCATTAAAATGATACCGATAAATATAATCAAAAGACTAATACAACAATTAAAGTTCTATAATTTAATTAATATTTAATGAAATATTTGGTACCTGGCTAAGGTGCTTTAATTCGTTTCTCAAAGTGTTGACATCGGCCCTTTGACAGCTAAACACTTCTTGTTCTACTCTTAATCTCCACAGCTGTTCTTCCCATGAGGCGTCAAAAGCGGCAGCCATTCTGTCAAGATCTTTCTGTTGTCTAAATAAAATAATTACTTAAAAACGTTTCAAATTATGGTTTTACCAATAATCTCTTACCTCTCTAAACTTTGATCAAGATGTAAACACTCTCTTATAAGGAGTTCGTAACGAGTAGACAACGGTGGGGTTTGCGCCTTCTTCAGAGCAATAATATCTTTATGCAAGTCTCCGACCTTTTCTTTAATTGTGTTAAATTGCTGGTTGAGTTCTCTAATTTGAGATTCGAAAGATCGACAATGAGTCGAAAACGAGCTGTCGCTTTCTAAGAGCTTGTTTTTAAGGGCAGTTTGTTGTTTCTTCGTTGCTGGCGGTACGCTGTCGTACATTCTGGAAGCTAAAAAAAAATCTGTTCGATGCGTTCATTTATTGAGTTAGTCAAAAAGAGTTTAACAAAAGATAATGCTCAGATGCGACACTATATAATGTTATGAGGTGTCAGATGGTGTGGGGTCATCAAAGTTTATCTGGTTCATAAATGTTAATAAGCGTTCTTGCAATTAGCAGTAAGTGTCGTATCTGGGTATTATATTTGGTTTAATAAACATATATAAAAAATCTTTAAATTATAATAGCAATTACCATGTACAAAGTTTGCTTTAGAAATTAAGAAGGAAATAATTGCTCTTTTTTTAACCATAAGTTTTAAACTATTGAACATTTTCAAGTGAAAACGAATTAAACTATGAATCTGTTTTCTTCACATTGTCTTTATAAGTATTTATGAATGAAAGACACCTTTTTTATTAAACGACAGGATTTTCCGTATATAATATCAAGCCAAATGTACACTTCTGGGTCAAAAATAAAAACGGAAAATAAATATATTGGTTGGAATAACATTTTAAATCTTAGATCGATTTTGATGAAATATTCGAAAAATCAAATAAGTTCGCCAGCTTTATTCCAGTTTACATTAAATACTCAACAGTAGCCAGTTGAGATAAGATAGAGGCACATGAAGATAAGATACAATGTAATTATGTTTTGCGTTTTAATAAAACTTGAATACATCTTATAATATTGGTTTTCTTTTTATTCAATAATAAAGTAAATTTTAGGGGTGTACGCAATTAATATCCTCTATTCCCTAAAACTACTTGAGCAGCACATCGAAATTTGTCAGTTGTTTCTGGAACATCGATTTTCGCGCCTACATATGTCTTTTTAATGCATCCCAGATGTACTCAATCGGATTTATGTCCGGACTTTTTGGTGCACAATCTATTTATCTCACATGTTACTGAAAAGTTTATTATCCAAATAGTATGCAAAGTCATAACTAAAATCACAGAACACGACACAGAAACATGTAACTTTTCCAAAAATATACTAGTTACAAGAAATTTATATATAATAAATTCTTCTATTGAGAGTAGATAATTCAATTCTTGAAAAAAATATAACATGCACAACTGCACATATAAGATACTTATTAAATACAAAAAATAGACTTACTTGCGGCTAACTCAGACTGGTGCTGACTGACAGCAGCCGGACCAATCCATGGTTCAAGACTTTGAGCGAATTCGCTTCTATAATTGGTTTTTATTTGCGAAGATTGCAATGATCTAACAACCAAATACAAAAACATTAGATTGCTGCGTAACAAAACGAAGATTATTTATCGTACTTACCTAACAGGTTGACTCAAATTTCCTACTGCAGAAAGTCTTTCAATAAGCGACGGACATAATTCCAAGAACTGATATTTATTGGCAGCGGCTGTAAAGGTGGTGCATAAAACCAGGTGTAACTGAAGGACAGGCATTACGGTGCCTAAAAACAAGAAAATATAATTTCGAAAGTCAACAGGGCTCCACCAGAGGGAAGGGGTGGGGCAAAGAAGGCAGTTGCCCCCTGGCAAAGAACTTCGCACTTTACTTATGGAGAAATAAGCTTATACTATCATTAGGATCCAGATTTCTTAGGTATTTATACTTTTAAAAAATCGTCTCGGTGGCGTCTTACGCGCTTGCATTCATTTGCAAGCAATTTTGTGATTGAGAGGCTTTGAATACTACATGTGAATTTTTAATTAATTTGCATGGTTCGTTATAGGATTTGATGGTTGCAGTATTAACAGAAATTAAATTTTCCTACAACCTTATATGAAAATGATAGTTTGCTCACTCATTTGTACTTAAGAAAGTAGCTTATATCACACGTGTACTAAAATATATATTATTGTATTGAAAAGTAACAAAACACACATGTATTGAAAAGTAAAAACATATCGTCCTAAAAACTGTGACATGTACGACAAAGTTATCATTATAATTGTCAATACAAATTTTTATGCATAAAATGAGATGTAATAAAGTTTTATACAGCTTTTTAAAATTGTAAATAAATAAAATAGATATTTTATAATCATTCTATTAGTTCTTGTCATCTCTATTGTTACAAAATAAAAAGGAGGATTTTTTTACTTTTCAGTATATGTGTGATATTGTGTGATTTATTTGAAAAAGACGTTTTTTTTAAGAATTTTTACGCAGTCGTATGAAAAATAGTGTACACAACTGTATTTTTCACACTTGTTATGTAATATACTATTCTATTGATATGACATCCAGATTATAAAAATTGCCTCGTAATTGCCTTGTAAGTCAAATGGCACCATCAATCATCTTTAAGTCGCCCCGGAGCGCCAAGGCAAATAATAATAATCGTCCCTTCCCCGGACAAGCTCAGCTTTTGGGGTTAAAATTCACCCGTAAGGGGGTGAACTAGAGAGAGTATTATTGTTAAGGATAGGTTCACAAAGTTCAGTATTTCAGGCTGAGGTTTAAACAATCTTGGAATGAGCAAAAACAAATAGAAGCGCTATTAAAAATAAGCAGATCCAAATTATGTCAGATTGCCAGGCGGCCCTTAAGGTCATATTAAGTCAGAAAGTGACATCGAGGCTGGTATGGAATTGCATCGAAGAACTTGGAACACTGGCAGACCGAAATAAGAGTAATATTAGTTTGGGTGCTAGGTCATCAAGGGATCAAGAGCAATGAAGAAGCTTACGAACTCGAAAAGAGAGGGTCAGAAGAAATATCTGAACCAGATATAAACTTTGGAATACCAAAAAGTACAGTTCGAGGTTTCATAAAAAACATAACTATTGGGAGAATGTCCCAAAACAAGCACATGGAAAGACTTTTATAGGAAGATCATGTTCAAAAAGAACAGAACTACTTTCCATGAATAAGAACCAGTTGAAAACAATAACAGGACTCATAACTGGACATGCCCCAGTAAAGGGACACCTGAACAAAATAGGGGTGTATAATGGAGACGTATTGTCTTAACTCTGTCACAAGGAACCAGAAACAGCCAAATACATACTGTGCAACTTGTGGGCATTGGATCGTACTTTTTGGACAACCACAGGTTGATCCAGGTTAAACATATAGAACACACCCTGTCAAGGACTTGTACAAAGGACTAAGGTACTATGAATTAATATGGGTCAAATGCAATAGGCCATTAGGCTTCAGTGTTATCGGAGACTAATTCAAACGAGATAGGAAAAGAATGGTTAGGTTCACAAAATTATATTTTTGCCCCCTCTGGAAAAAATCTGGCGGCGCCCATGGGTGTAAGTAAGTTTTTACCTAAAATAACTAGTTGACTTCGGTAAATCCTCTCTTTGCTTTCGTACTGACGTTGAACTTCCATGATCATCGTAGCATGAGTCTTCGCCATTGCTTCTTGCATACCTTGACAAAAGGTGTTTATTGTGTGCTTCTCGCTGTCCATGTTTCTACGTAGCTCATCCATTAAACCTTTTAAAGCTATTATACCATCTCTCACCGATGTCTAATATAAAATTCAAAACATTCAATATTTTTATTAATAACTTAGGATACAAATATAGTGGAAACGATCAGATTAGATTCAAAAGAAGCTAGACAATATTTTCACAATGTTCACATAGATTATTCAGAATCTACTCAATAACACCTATAAAATGGCATATTACACGATATTGATCAGTTAGAACTAATTTAAATACGGCAGTACTAAACAGTCTCTTGATTCGCCGAATACCGACGCGATATGCATTCTACGTAAGCAGGCGAATTAATAAGCCCATATACTATTATTTAGTGAAACTCGAACTACTGCATAATATATTGAAGATTCTCAAATAATGATCCCAGATCAACTTCTATATACAGGTGTTTTAAATTTATGTATAAACAGTAAAACTGAATATAGTATATACAAAAAGTATATCTTAGGACGCAACAATCGGTGCTCAATAATAGTAATAAATTCCACATTTTTTGAATTTAAGTTGCTCAAATTAAAAGATCTTTCAAAAATTGTTAATACTTTAAAAAATAAATCAGGTTCTAAACTAATAGATACAAAGTATTTAAAGAGTACCTGTGGTGTCCTAGGTCATGTTTTGTTTCACTTTATAAGTATATATCACTTGAATGTGGTAAATTTCCTGATGATTTCAAAACCAGTATAATTGTGCCTATGCCTAAAGTTAAAAACAACAACAAAGCTAGTGAATTTCAACCCATAAACACTTTACCAGGTATGGACAAATTATTAGAAATGACTATACAGACAACTTGTTGAATATATTAATAACAACAAAATACTTATCACCAATCAATCAGGTTTTCGACAGGATCATTCATGTGAATCAGCTTTGCAACTAACATTTACTAAATGGACCCAAGGTATAGACAATGGTGATTTTATAGTAGCAGTTTTCTTGGATTTGAGAAGAGATTTTGCAACCATTTATCGATTAAAAAACTGGAATCTATTTAAATCAAGTGAACCATTTTGGCATGGTTTAAAACATACTTAAACGATTGACAATAAATTACAAAGGTGAATAATGTCTTCTTAAATCCTGTTAATTCGAAAAACCGTATACCCCAAGGAAGCATACTAGGCCCCTTACTTTACTTAATTTACATTAATGATATTGATTCCCACCACATATGTGATCTTATCAACTTGTTTACAGATGATACACTGTTGTATATCACATAAAAACTTGGATATTGCCATAACTGTAATGAATTTTTCCCAAAATCAACTTCAAAACTATTTCAACATTAATAATTTAAAATTCAATGCAACAAAAACCAAAGCTATAGTCTTAACAACAACTTATAAATACAAACAACTAAATTTAAATACTGTAGCTTTGACTATTAATGATGAAAAAATTGAATTTGTGGCCAATTTCAAATATCTAGGGTTATTGTTGATCATTTTCGAATTATTTATTAACGGGGGTGTTACGATTAATGTTTAACTCATTTTGAATTGGTTTAACACCTTATATTTTATTTACCTTGCTTCGTTTCTATGATCTTATTGAAAAGATTTGTTGATGTGTTCTAACAACTAGGTCTTAATCAAAAGAATTAATAAAACTGTCAAAAAATATTATAACAGGGAATATCAGCACAGCAAGTAACAGGAAATTTGTCGATTCTATATTTCAATTTACTGTATTTTAGGAATTTGAGTTACTTCGCTAAGGTTACTATCAACAATACAATAATTGTATAATTATTATACAACCACATTCCGACGAATTTAACACTCTATTCTATAGTTTACACCAAAATAAGATACTAGCATTACAAAAGTTGCAAAACGGTGGTACGAGAGTTATCTTAAAATGTAATCAATATACAAGTATATCATTTATGCTTAAGAGCGTACCTACAAAATTTTAACGTTCGAACTCGAAATCGTGTACTCCATCCCATATATTATTTCCCTACCACGGCTGCCGACGTTCAGAGGTCTTAAGTGAGTCAGAGTTACCTGAATTAAGGAAACCAGAACCGCATTTAGTTGTTCTTGGTGCATTGTGAGATATTATTATAACATAGTTGGATTTATTAGAGGGTGTTTACAATATTTTTTATTTTAATTTAGTGAATAGCTGTAGTTAGATTAAATTACAATTAGGAGTATAGAGTTAGTTTTTTTTTAAGTTGTTAAGTGTATTTTTGTGAAAGATGGGAAAAATAAAACCAACATACAAACGGAAAAATAAGCGACTGGCTCGATTAAGGTAATACCAATTTATATTTAAAATTAAATAATATTGATTTATTTTTTGTTCTATATATTAGGTACTTGAAAAAAAGAATGGAAAATTATTCTGAGGTGGAAAAGTAATCTTCCGGTAGTCAATACATCAGAGGACAACACGTAAGTAAAGCAAAATTTTACAAAAATGTTTTATGTTATAATATAGTCTAGTAATGAAAAGCATTCTATGTTCTGCATTCTATGTATATAATGTAAGAAGTGCGTCAAATTTATGCACAACTTTAATAGGAAAATATTTATAATGTACAAAAAAGCAAAACCAGTAGAGCCAACTACTCACTTTTAACCTGTACGTGAAATTCATAGGCTCTAATAGAAAAATTAGGGTAAAATTTGATTTTACACACTTGTGTGAATTTATACTTGAAATATTTTTTTTTTTCAATAATTTGCCATTCTGATGAACTAATGTTCTTGTCGATTGACATTAAATGTAACTTTTAGTGATATTTCTCGATTTTAGAAGTACTTAACACTTTTACTGCCTAGGCTTTAAAAAATTACTTTTATTTCTTTTCAAAACTTCTGCATGGGCATCCTGCCAAAAAAGGTTACTGTAATAAATTAAATACAAAATTACTATAAGTATATTTAATCAAAAATCATAAAATACGATATATTAAAAATGCGTGAGTTATATCAGTTATACTTAAAAGAGGTTTTTATTTTAGTTCCATTTTTTAAACACACTGTATAAACAATCAGAAAAAAATAGATATTTCACATGGCAGAGACACAGATTTACTGACTTGGCTTGTTTCATTGCCACGGTTTCGCCTCGCCAATGAAATGCTAGCTGCGGTAATAAATCTGTTACTTCTCTGCCTAGTTAAACAAACAACTATGTTCTTGATTGTTAGGCATTAACTTGATGAAATCCATCAAAATTGTAACTATGCGATTCTCTCATATTATATAGAAACCCGCAGTGAAAAGGTTTCATCATACTTAAAAAACCAAAACATAGCTTTCAAAAACAATAATACGCTTGGGATATTAAAAACAACAAGGGCAAAATTGTTCCATTAATAAATTGGGAGTATATAAAGTAAATTATGGTAGTTGTCCAAAATTGTATACGGTAATACGGGCCATACTTTCAAAAAACCCTATTCAGAACATTACAATAGTTATATCAAAAACAAAAATCATTCAACTTTTTCAAATCATATTTTGGCTGAAAATTCAGATAACCTCTTAAATGCTCAATTAAGTATTAATAACTCACCTTTAATAAATCTCTTTATCTACGCCCGTCTCACTGCTTTTCAATCAATCAAATAAAAAAGCCAAAATGTCAAAATCTATTTAAATTTAATAACAAAATACTGTCACAATTTAAAGTAACAAGTAATAATAGCTTTTTTCTACGTTTAAACAAAAAACAAAACTTTATTGAACTATATTTAGTGAAAAAACTGGTTCTTTATTGCACTAGTGCAATAAAAATTTTATTGCACTCATCTGTCATTTTACTAAAGCGTTTAATGATCATGACAAACATAAATATTCAAATCAACGCCAAATATTTAGTCTATTTTCATTTTCTGTGTTACGTTTTAAAAACAATCGCATATTTTATATTATTTTCAATCATTTAATAAATAAATTAATAAAAAAATGTATTTTATTAAAAAAGGCATTACAAATTATGAACACAAAATGCCTCAAACAAAGGTACACGATCCGGCTACTATGATTTGGATAATACAACAGCAGTTCTATAAAACATTTTTTGGTTTTTGCATGAACGTAGAAAAAATATTGTATGCAACTTGTGCAAAAACTGTTTATTGCACTTGTTGTATAAATAACTATTTAAGCTTGTTCTTCAATATCAGATGAAAAACTTTCCGAATCACTCATTTTATTACTAGAAAATGAAAAAATACGTTAAAAATGAATTATTTTTGACTCATTGTTTATGACAATATTATCGTTGCTAAGAAAAAAAAAGTTTTTATTCAATTGTTAGAACAGCTACCCAACATTTCGATGTGTCACCAATCGACATGTAGGTAGTGGTGGAAAACAATAACCCTAAAGTCTTAGACAAAAATTATAATTAGCGTTTATTTTGACATTTAGAGGCGTAGATAAAAATTTGTACAGTATACGTGTGATAACGGTTTCTGCGATTGCTCAACTCATGCTACGCACTCGTTGTGCAAATTTCGCATACGTACGTTAATAAAGCTCTTATCCCACTTATATTAGTTTACTTAGTATATATACAATGAAAATTTTCGATTTTGTCAAAAACAAACGTACTTTACAATTGAGCAAAATTCATATTTTTGGACAAACCTCGTATACCACTGAAACAATTTGATATTTGATGACTGTATTCAAGGTTTTAGATAATGCAGAACTTTTTATGAAGAATAACTATTTTTCCTAAAATCAATAATAATTTTTTTTCCATATGGTTCCAACTTAAGAAGACTGTATATTAGGCACCGAAATGTAAATAAGTCACATTCGAAGAAGAAGTTGTACTTCGAAACAATTGTCATGCAGATTTTTTAATTTTTATTTTTTAATAAAAGTGTGTGAGAATCTACTGTTTGATTTTACTCATTTAAGAAAATAACTTTTTTAATACACAGACCGCTTAGCTTTTTTGATACACTATAATAGCTTTAGATAACAATTTTAAATAACAATATTTTTAGAATGCGTAGCAGTACCACTTCTACCACCAAATTCTCCTGTAGATATTTTGGCTACGCCATCTTCAAGTCGTCAGGAGGACAAACGTCAGCAAAAGCGAAGCTATTTAGAATATACCACTTCAAGGGATAGTGTCGTTGAGGAAGAACTTAAAAATAAAAAGTAATCATATGTATTTTACTAAATCCGTATATTTCAATGGGTGATAAATACCTACAAAGCCGAAATGTAAAAAAGTTGTTAATCAAGTTATTATTTATATTTTGTAAAATATTTATGTAATTTTTTTATTTTAGGACAAAAAGAAATGAAATTTGTTTGGAAGGTCTAAGAATTGTGGATGCCCAGTACCTAATTCAGCAGGTGTTAAACTTTCCACATCATGGATTATTTCACTGCAGTGGTGACAACGTCAAAATAGTTAAAGAGGTCAAAAAAAGGCCTACATTCAAAATTTTTGTTGCATTGCAACATCTGCGAAGAAACGTTTAGCATTAATAGTGAAAATCCTCAAAGCAAAACACTTCGAGTGAATGCTTCAGCGGTTAAAGGAGCTATTTCGATTGAAATTGGGTCAAGTCAGTTGTCGAAGTTATTAAGCAGTATGGATATACCTCCTATACCTGAACGGATGTATCGTAATATTCAAAATGATCTGGGGGACTATTACCATGAAGCTGCTTGGAGTTCGATGATAGAAGCTGGACAAGAGGAAGCTACGTTAGCAAAAGAGAATGGGGAAGTTGATAAGAATGGTTATCCATTAATAACGGTAGTAGCTGACGGATCTTGGGCGAAACGGTCTTATAAGACTAATTCAAACTTAGGACTAAAATATTTCAGTCCCTTAATACATAACATGCTATATTTATATATTTAATTTTTATTGTTACACTGTATGTGGCATGGATTTTTTTGTTTGCCTTTTTTGGATTAACAAAATATTATTTTAATGATTTAAAAATAAACTGTCAGTATCAATCTGTACCTAAACATATACAAAATGAAATCATACGACGCACCAAGAAAGCACCACATTTTTAAACTTTTTTAATCTACTTAAAAAAGTATATAATACACTAGATTAATTTTATTAAAGTACTATATGGGCTTATATACATTATATTACATTAATTTTATATGTAAAAATGTGGGTACCTAGTTCACTGCACATCCAAATTTATATTTAAAATAAAGAAAGTTTCAGGTTTAAAATTGAACACCAAGTTTTATAATAATACTCTCCCTAATTCACCCATTTACGAGTGAATTTCAGGAATATCAGGAATAATATTTTCTTAAAAAAGTGACAATAAAAAGTGTTCAGGCCAGGCCAGGCTTTTTGCGAGACACTGTATATATATTTAGAGAGAAATCCATAATATATTAGAAAATAATTTAAAAAATTATAATCACATAAATGTGATTTACCTTTTAGAATATCGTATATATATACAGCAAAGTTTACTAATCTTTATAAAAAAGATTTATATTCTACAAAATCTTTCTTAAATTTTTTAACATTCACAAATGTTTTAATTTAAATGTAGTAACATGCACGTGTGAGGTACAAAATACCTTAATCCGTCTATAATTATCGATTTTTAACAAGATGGAGACCGGACATCGTGGAAGAAAGACAGCGAATTTAGTAAAGAATTTTAACTCGATTAAAAAGCGTTGTTTCTTTTTCCATTTTCTAAAAAAACTAATAGACCTTTTTGAAATCGGTTTTCGGTGATTTTCCTTCTGATTTATTACCTTGGAAAGTGGCAGATTTATATAAAAAACGAAAAAAGCTGACTTATTATTTTTATGAAATGAAAATTTGTTGTTATTTTCACAGTTTTCAACCGCCCTCTGTTTCCATAAAAAAATTATTACGATGTTGCCAAGCCAGCACTTTTTTAGATATCAACACGTTCTTTATTGTACTTTTTAAATTTTTTTAAAATACTCTTTAGTTTTTTCATAATTTGGGAAAAACAATAGCATTGAAACTCCTATACCCGAAAAATTGTACGTACGCTCTTAATGCATTATACTGGTTTTCCATATGTGATAGGTTATATGTATAGGACCGCAATATGTTTTTAAAATTTAAAAAAAAAATACTATCATCATATTTTAATGAATTTATTGTTTACCGAGGAAGTGCACATGCTCATAACACTAGACAGCCTGACAATTTTTATTTGCCAATATGCAATTTATCAAAGTCAATGAAAATATTGCTGTACAAAGGACTCAACGAATTTAATAAATTACCGACAAATATTAGAAATAGTGAGAATTTATACCAGTGTAAAAAATAATTAAATATATTAAAAATAAATTATTAAAAATACCTATAGTCCAATTAAATAACGAAAAAAAGCCCCTTCGAGCTTACATTAATTTGTAATTGGATGAAACAAAACGGACCTTGTGTATTTTGATGTGATCTTTCCGAAAAAAAGATGTAGGTAGCAGTTTTTCAATTTTTTTTAAATTAGGAAAAACCGGGTTTTCCGGAATTTTCCATTGTAAAAATGCTAATTATCTGGGCAAGTATCATTCCGATAGTGAAAATAAATGCACCATTCGAAAGAGGAGGCAAAAATAGTTCGGAAATTCATTGCACAGGTAGTTTTAATGGCGAATTTCTCGCCGCCAGAAGTGCTTTTACCAAAAAGTCGTTTTTTCGTTTTTTTGATCAGAACCATGGACATGAAATTTGCGATGAATTTGTGGCGAAATTATAAATGTTAGACATATGTGCCCATGAGAGAAGTTGCGTATTTTTTTGTTGGCTCTCAAATAAAATAAGTCCCGCGGCGAAATCTGACATAATTTTTCGGGAATTCGCAGGAAACCAGAGGCGTAGTTTTTTTTAATTTTTTTCCCATGTGATTTTTTCCGGGTTTTCCGAAAACATCTAACAAAATAAATATATTTGAAAAAACTAACTTCGCCATCGAAAAGAGCACAAAAAAATACACAAAAAGGTATACTTTAAAAATGTTAGGAAATTAATCCTAAGCCTGAGTGTAAGTTCCAACTTGGTGATAAGCTTGCTTTTTGTTCGCTAATATCTGGTAATTCTATATTTTGCTCAAGAAACGTCTTATAACAAGTCAGTAAAATACAATTTAATAAATTTTAAGCCTAATATCAAATCAAATTACAGTAATGTAGTGTATACACGAGTTTTGGATCCCGCGGAGCGCGTGTAATGGGACTTTTGTCGGGAGAATTCTACAACTTAGAAGAAGCATACACACTTTAAACTTTGTATACACATTTAGAAGATATGAAATTTGGGTTTAATTTTCAGACAAAAAAACTTAAAATTGTCAATTTTAGGCAACTTTTCTCAAAAACCGTGTTTTTTGGTCGTCACTCAATGAACAGTGGTCAAAAAAATAGATAAAAATGCAGAATTTTCCGTAATGTAATCGTATTCTAGACACAATAGAGTACTCAAAAAAAAAGTTTTGTGCCATTGGGTGCATTTTTATGCCACTTCAAACTTTCGAAAAAAAAATTTTTTTTTTTTTTTTTTTAAAAAATATTTAATTGTTTGATATCTTAGCCAATTATGGTCCGATGTCGGTGATTCACACACACATAAGATTTTACATTTAAGAGTAAGCTTTGTAAGTGGCATTACAAAAATTCAAATAGTTTGGCCGTTATAGGCAAACAATGAAATTTGGACCGCGGTGCATTTTGCCCTTCCGCCATATGCCTAATTTTGTTCCCTTGCCCCTTCTGGGAATCACTAGTCACATCCCTTAAGTTCAAAACGCATTTTTGTTTTTTCAAATATCTTAATTTCTACCAATGTTATAAAGAATTTAGTGTTTGAACATTTAACAAATTCAATTTTTCGACCTTCGTCGCCTCAAAATACTAAACAAATTTCAATCGTCCATACCGCGAGAACGGTGCATCGGATCAAAATTTCTCAAGAGACATAAAAATTAGCATTTTTCCTAAGCTTTCAAATGTCGTAAACTGCGTTTTAAAAATATTGATTTATTTCCGACATGCGCCTGCGCAAAATTGATAAAATCCAAAATTTCGGCACTTTCGAAAAACTGCTACATTTTGTTTTGCCTTTTTTCGAAAAGATCACCTCAAAATACATAGAATCCATTTTGTTTCATCTAATTATATAATTTTTATCTAAAGCTACTCTGTAATATGTTTCACTTGAGCAGTAAATTTTAATTTTTGAATTGTAGACATTTAATTATTTTTTTAATATTGTATTGTTTTATATAAAAAAAGCGAAATCAGGGTCGCATTATTAGTTAGGTCAGAATGAGATTTTGGCTCCAATTTGAGTTAATTTTTACTGCAGAATCCAATAACTTTTAAATTAAATATTTAGGCAACTATGAATAAACGATGTGCGGCATTGAACTTTTCTTGTTGACCTCTACAAAATAGTATATTGAATATCCCGATTATTTTCCTTTAAATAATTTATATTTTCCCCGTTAATAATTAAAAAATAAGATAATGAATAGAAAAACAGTCGACAGAGTCTTCCTAAATTTTTACCTATGCTGTATTTATTGAAAAAAAAGTAACTGTCTATGATAGAAAATAAACTAGTTTAATTTTTACCTGAAGGTCCATAATAGCGTTCTGTCCTCTTTCTAGACGTTTGGCAGCTTGAGCATGTGCTGTATCAATATCAACACATTGCGCTCGCATTTCATTAGGCAATTCGCGGAAACAATTTACACATAACATTGCATTCTGTAGTGGAGAAAACATTATAAAATGTTCACCATGTTGAGGGCACTAAAAATACACAATAATTGTGTGTAAGGTAAACATATATAAGGAATTTGGGCTAATCTTGGACTATTTGAATTAGTTTAATTAAACTTCCTTACTATGTGATTGGTAAGAAAGGGAGCAAACCTTTTTAGCTTCCTTGGTACATTTAGCCATATGAACAATATCGTGGGCTGAAAACATTTTGGCTCTATGGGTATTTTCACGGCAGTGTATACATAGTGCTTGTCCTAGAAACACCAACTTTGTTATAATATAAATATAACTACCACATTTATTGGCTGAAGGCCTTCAGTAACTACATTAAAATTAAGCAAGTATTAGAAATTAAAAATTTAAAAAAACCGACTTCAAAAACGTGCAGATGCCATTACTACATCTTAACCAAATTTATATGGGACCACCCCTGAGGTACCCCCTTACTAACAAAAAAAGAATCATAAATCGGACAAGGTGGTAAAGCATTATTGCTAAACATACATAAAAAATGAAGAGTTTGAGGATTTTCTCATGGACCCAATTAATAGATTTTGGCCAAATATATATGGGACCACCCCTAAAGTACCCCCTTTCTAACAAAAAAAAATCATTGAAATCGGACACCGTGTTGAAGAATTATCGCTGAACATACATAAAAAAAATCGCGACGAATTGAGAACCTCCTCCTTTTTTGAAGTCGGTTAAAAAAAAATACTTTGAATTTGGAGAAAATTATAAAAAATAAATAAAACAATGTGTTACACATTAAAAGTTAAAAAAATAAATATAAAATTATAAAAAACGAACCTAAAAAACATAAAACTTGTACAATAAAATAAAACTTTCTGGTATACCACAAGTGTTGCAGTAATACATGTTCTGCCTATCACGTTTATCACAATTGGAACATGGTGGATTTTCACTGTTAGCAATGTCAATCAGCTGACGCATCAAACTATCAGGAGGTGGCAGTGTTGATCCATCTTTTAACATTGTAGGTTGTCTATAAAGAGATTTTAGGGTAAGGGTTAGCAAATAAAAATAATTTCCTCCTTAAATATTGCAAGATGTGCTATGTCAAAAAATTCAACAATTCACTTTAAATGTCTGTAAGTACGTAATCAACTGTACAATGTGTTTTGTCAGTATTCCATACCAAAAATGTATTTATAATATATGTAGAAATTCTTATGTAGTTATTAGCATTTTATACTCTCTTGTAAAATTAATTTTTTGAGACATAGCTCCTATTGCAATATCAACGACGATTTGTTTCCGTATTACAATTAATTACAGTTTTTTGGAAAATGTCAGATATAGCTTATAAATAAAATAAATACCAACAATAATGTACATAATGGTAAAATACAAATAATAAAAATAGATTAAAATTGACCAAATATTATACTCATCTATATCATAAAATGAGTAAGACAATAAACATATTTGTAAAGTTTTCTATAAAATATTTACATGTTTAATATGGGTTGGAAATTTATGGTATAATCTGGGAACAAGAGATAAAAGGAGATTGTGACGAAGTCACTAAATTTTATTTTTAATTAATTGTGGATCTCCTAGATTTGCTTTGAAGAAAGAGACTCGCCAGTACCGAACCCGCTATTTATCGCGATAAACCTTTCCTAACCCATTAGAAAAAGCCAAAAGCCGGCGTCGTAAAAATCTCGCATTTCGTATGCGAAGGTCATTGATCAGCTGGAGACGTTTTTTTCGCCGAGGTGGACGATTCAAATTTTCTATTATACAGGGGTGCCGGATTAAACGTTTAATTTATTCCGAATTGAATTAATAGCAACTGCCGTTTTAATTAATTCTTATTTTCTTTTAAAATAATTTATTTGCTGGAAAAGTTATTTTCTGTATACAGGGAGCGCCGTAAATTTCCGTTTTAGTTATTTTATAGTTTCTTTATTATTTAACAATTGTATTTAAATAATTTACTTGGTAGGAAAAATATTTTTCACTATACCGGGGGTACCGATATTGTACCCTGCGTTGCTGGGGTATTTAATTTTTATAAATATATTTTGTTAATAATCCCCGTTTCTTTTATTACCGGCTCTCAACCGTGTTATTTCAGGATACCGTAGGGTACGAGGTGCAAGGGAAAATAGTATCTTTGGTTATAATTTAGTGGCTACCCCTTTGGCGGTGACCGCCTGGAGGTATTTAGAGCTTCACTGAGTATATCTTGAGTACACTCTGGTGTACTACAGGGTCGCATAGCAAACTATGTTAACAAAACTGGCGCCTGAGCAGCTCTTATTCTAATTTCACCACCTTAGCGCCACACATACTTCCTACTTCACAGAAGGTGAGAAGCCAGAAGCCTGTCACAAGATACACAAGATTGGTAAAATATAATATTCGTGACGCCGACATCAATACCACACTCGATAAGGTGCAGTTGTAAATCAGAAGTGAGGAGACATGTGTTATGAGGTATGGGAAGGGATAAACTGAAGGATTTGACGGCCGTATAAAACAATTTTATCAATTATTAATGTATGTGTAAGCCGTTGTACGCCCATAATAAATAAATATTGGTACTTTATAAAAGGAGACCTCCTTTTCTAAAGTTTTTTTTTTCTTACACCTTTATTTATATTTTTTCCTTGTAGTTCTTGGGTTTTTAGGTGTTGGTTGAGGAATGAAACTCCTGTTATGGGTAAAGCTTTCGGCACTGATCAGTGCCTTCTTCAGTAGTTTTTTTAATTTTTTAATATTTGTACATTTTAACAGTCATAATTGTTCTTTAGTACATTATGGGGTGTGTAATTATAGTTGTTAAATGTTTTAAATCCTTTTCCTTTTATATTATTATTATGTAATTGATTTTTATCATTGTCGTGTCGTTTTGATGCTGTAGTATCCGTTGTTGTCAGTCTCGATAGTACTACTGAAGAAGGCACTGATCAGTGCCGAAAGCTTTACTCATAACTAGAGTTTCATTCCTCAACCAACACCTAAAAACTACAAGGAAAAAATAATAAATAAAGTACAAACTATAAGCCCTGTTGCCACATCTAGTACAAAATACTTGATATCTAACTTAACATTAACTAGGTTTTGGAATGTATTGAAAATTATAACATCTAATTAGTGAAATTACATCTATTTTAGTTAAATTTGATGATACTAATTTAAAATGTTTTGGGTTCAGTTGCAATAAAATAGGTTGAATTATTTTAACTTTTTTAAGATGCATAATAGCTGTTATGAAACCAGTTACGAAATGCCTTATTTTATGTAATGAGTGAATATTTTCGGGACGAGCAGAGCAAAGTCCCACAACATGAACGACTTACATAAAACGTCATTTTGTAAAGTGCTAAATACAATATTTTTTCTAATCTTGACTAGATTATTTATAAAATTGTGTTTTGGTAAGACATTCCTGACATCCAGGCAACCAATATTACCTTCTTGTATTGTTAGTTGCATATGCATCATTTTATTGATAAATAGAAAGTTATATCAATTATGTATTCTCAATGATTTGTAGAGTGTTTATATCGCTTATTAAAGTTATTTCGTTTTTAAAACAGTGGGTTATTTTGTCGTGTATTGTGTTTTAATTATTTTCCGCAGATTTGAAATGGAAAATAAGGATCAAAACAATATTATTACTTGGTTGTAAGTTTAACCAAATTCTATTTTCAACCTGCCCTTCTTTGATATAAACTTTCAATAATAATGTATAATATTAATAATAAACCTAATGAAATAGGCATGACACCAGCGAATATGATACCCTCCTTTGTCCCTTAGAGTATGACTTATTCACAACAGCACGATATTTGTTTGTAGTTACATCTCCTGTTACCTCTGTCTGGGACCCATACAATTTGGTGATCAAAAAGTAATTTGGCACATGCCTAAATAGGAATTTGAGGTACCCAGTCTGGTGAGATTTTTGCATGGAATTCTTCTATCCAAGTGGATTCTGGGGCAGTTGGAGGATTATTTTGTTGTTTTCTGTTTTTAAAGCTGTTTAGTTTTTCCATACCTCTGTAATAGGTGTGTTTGGGTTTAATTTATGGCAATATTTGATCCATTTTTCTCTTTTCGTTTGTTCAAGTTCTCTTTGTAATTGCATTGAGTCGTTTATAATCAATTAAGTTTGCACTGTTTGGATTATTCACTTTTTTGTTTTTCACCAGAATTGAATCTGGATTAAGGATGGTCTGGATTTTGACATACGAATTATCGACGCTCTACTGTAGTAAAAGAATATTTTCCAAAACGCCTCGAAAGAACTGTAAGTCAAACTTATTATAAACATCAGACCAATTTTCATTACTAATATTGACAAAGCATTCTTAAATAGCCGATTCTGTAAATAATGTGAGCCTGATAACAACATTCTGTGATCTTAAATACTGTCAATGATACTGTATGTCCCATTAGGTCGATAATTTGTAAGAAATTGTTATAACAATATTATCCCTGAAGATGACAGAATTGTCAGTAGGTTTTATATTAAAAAGAATACTTTAACATTATCATTTGAATTTTTTTCACCCAAGGTACTAGTGCATCTAGTCAGCAAAATGTTTAAAGGAACATATATTATTATCTTAGGCCATAAAATGGTTTGATATATTTTGACATTCTTTCAAAACAAATGGCAATTATAAAATATATAAATAATGCAAGAACCCTGCCCAGTTATAATGACCTATTTTTTAAACCGTTTAAAACCTCTTATTTTGCAACATTTGATAATTAAATACCCTTACCTACAGTACAAACATAATTTTAAGTAAAGGAAGGCACTTAATTACCTACAAAAAGGGCAAATTAAACGTCGATCTTGTTCTCTTCCTCTTAAGCAGCGTGCACAAAAAGTATGATAACAATTAAGTATGCAGGGCTCTGTGAAATAATCATGGCAAATCGGACACAACAATGGATTTTTTGGAAACTCTAATCCAGTTTCCACTCCAGGTGGTTCCATTTCCAAATAACAGGAGCTAAAAAAATATTATTCGCCAAAATTATAATTTTATTGATAAGTATTATATTTTTACCTGGCAAAGTAAATAATATCGAAGAGTAGACCAAATTTTGAATTTAAAATCAAAATTCAAGGATTATTTATTTCAACTGACAGGTCGAGTATTTGACGTTTGTCTTCTTCTTTTGCCACTCCCCCAATTAATTTTCGTTCATGAGTTGTTTCAGCCAATAGATGGCTGAATGACTTATAAGTGAAAGGAATTGAAGGAACACATTCGACAGGTTAAACTATTGATTGCATTACCTTCCGGTCAAGGCAGGGCAATAAAAGCGAAAAACACATTTGGTACAAGAGTTTAATAAATTTAAAATGATAATCATCACAGCGGAAGTATAAAATTATTACGTACTAAAATAAATTATTTATTAATCGTTTTAAGTGTGTAAAAATTTGAGATCCTTAATAATTATTATATCTTAACGCTAAACTACTATCTATATCATATAAAAATAATTTAAAAACTCATTAACTATCATCTGTAACAAGTAAAATTGTAGGAGTATTTCGTGGATTGTAAATAATTGTTTGCGGTATTTGAGAAGTAATGTCTTGATTTTCTAGGAGAGCTATCTCAGCTTGTAACATTGCTCTTTCCTTTTTTAAACTCGAATTTTCAAACTGCAATGAAAATTAAAAAATAAAGTGTTATGAAATATACTGAAAAAGTTATATGATATATAATTCATATTTATTACACTGACTGAGAAAAATTTCAAAGTAGTTTCCTCTGATTTAAATGATACTCAAAAATAAATCATAAATAGATCTTTATATACCGAAAAAGATCCAAAGAAAATTAGAATAATTGTATTTGTAGTCAGACATATTAGTCAGTATAAATAACCGTCATCTTCTTATCAATATTAGAAAATATTTTCACTTACTCTTAATGATGTAAGTTTTTTCTTTAAATCACTATCTGTTATCATCTAAAAAAAATAAATAAATATGACAAACTAAAAAAAATTTACTTTTCAATCCAAATAAATCTTAATTTTCATAATATATTCCTATCTTGGAATAAACTATACATAAAAGCTAAAAAAATTACCAAAGACTCTACTACCATCCCTTCCACATTTTTAACAGCTTTTTCCAATGAGCATATTTCATTACAAAGATCACTTTGGTTTGGAACAATCTCAGGATTACCATTATTTGATTCCTAAAAAAATATTACTAGAAGCGAGTTTTAACAATTTAATTAAGTAAATTAATTACAACACTCATAAATATATTAAATTACTGTTATTTGATAAATAATTGATAAGCATATACCGTAATGGATTCATCAATTCAAACAAACCGATCATTGTAATTATTGGTCATCTAGTGAGTAAAGGTCAACAATTTAAAATTATATTTATGACTTTATTGAGTTACATTAATGAGTAAATTAAGAGAATTAATTAAATATAGTACAATGGTCCAAATATGTTTTGCCACAACCCTAATACCAATAAATGCGCTATATTCCTGTTATGAGAAGGTAATAAATTTATAACAAGTACTGTATATAGCTAATAAAAAATATTACTTTTAACTTACAATAATTTCTCTATCAAAACGGGCTTCAACCTCATTTGTCATTGTGCTAAAATCATCTAATGTTGAGGTCAATACATCAGTTATTCTTTGAAACGTAGTTTTTTTCAATAACTCTTGATTGGCAGAACATTTTTCATTAGTATTATTCCTCAGTATCCTTGGTTTTTTTAAAACCTGAAAAGATCATTATTATATTACTAAATTTATTTTATCTATAAATTTGCATTTTATTATTTCACGAGGACATTAATGTTTATAAATCAAATGACAGGAATGTCAATCCATCTGTATATCATCCTAGAGACAATATATCAAATCAATAGCCATTGCAGTGTGCTTTCACTTGTAAGATAGTGAATTTTAGGGAGAATATTAAAATTTTACAATTAAAAATAAAGGTAATAAGTCTTGGGATGAAATTAAGATTGCAGTACCATCTATACTTGACATTGGAATTACTTTAGATGTTTATATTTGTTTCTAAATAATTTTTTTCTATAGGTATATTGTTTTATATTGAGCATTTAGAGAAAAAAAGACATTTTTTTGTAGAAAAATTATATTGTTATTAATTTTCAGATTTTCAGTGAAAATTAATAACTGTCCTAGTATTTAACACTTTTATTTCAATAATTTCAACTAGAGTTGTCATCCATCTCAATTTCCCCCTGGACATGATTTTTTGTTAAAGTCCATTCAAAATTGAAATATTTGTAGAACTGAAATATGTATTTATTTCTTACATTTATTGTCAGTTTATTTTTTTATTTAAAGATTTTTTTTAATTGATGAGTCAAAAAATATAACAAATACATTTTTTATTACAAGTGATTTTTTATAATATCTTAAGGTGTGCATAAATAAGGCAGACCGGGCCAAGGCCGTGCCTGCATCGTCCCAACACAGTCCAAGTTGGTCAGATTTGTATGGTGCTTTGTGTCTACCACAGGTCGCGCCAAATAGGATGGAATAAGCCCTTTGCTTTTCATCAGTAGATCCACAATATCATACAAATCTGACGAATCTGGGCCTGTTGTTGGCACAAGCATGGTGCGTTATATTTATACACATCTTTAGCTGTCCATATTTTGGTAGCCTTATCCTGGTTAAGCTTTAAAAATGGCAACCATACCTGATCATCTGGCAGTTTCAAAGAAGGTACAGCAGTTTTTTTTAATGTTTTTCTTTTTATTTGACGTGTGACATCTGCAACACAAGAAACTTAAATAAAAACATTGATTTACAAAGTAAATACATATTACCTCTAGGTATATAATCATCTTCTGTAAAATGCTGGGAACAAACTTTTATATAATTTGAAGCCGGCTTCTCCATTTTCAATTTTTGTTCCCATGCTTTCCGTGCATCCACAAGTTCATATTTTCTAATTTTATGTTCTAAAACTACCCTATATCTACCTGCTTTAGGAAATTGATGAAATGTAAGAGACTGATCATTTTTTTTTCCAGACCTGCACTGAGGCACACAGCAATAAATTTTGCTTTTTCCACTCATTGTACTTATATTTAAAATAACAAAATATATTGTAAATACCTATTTAAATAGCGATTTAATTAATTAGCTTCATTATAATTATTTGCTAATAAACACCATTAATCACATCACATTGTAAACAAGCTCGATGTCAAATGTCAAATTTATTTCTTAATTTGTCTAAGAGTAGTAACTTATGTTCACAGTAGAGGGCGCATCGCTTAGTTTTAGCCGTGGCTTTCGCGTTGTATGAAGGATATCTGCTTTATACAACGGTTTTAGGTTCCAATTTTTTAAAGTTTAAGATTTCATAGTACAATAAATGGGGTTCTTTAATTGTATTTTTAGTGAGGCAAAATAGAAAAAATATTTTGCATAAGTATTTCCAGCTGTTTTTCGCGGCATAAACCAACATAAACGTTTATGATAGATTATGTTATTTAGGTTCGATTCCAGCGTTGTGTTAAACGAAGTTTAAAATGACATTTTTACATTAACAACGTCATTTTAATCTCCAACACAACGGTGGAATCGATCCTTAGACATGTCTAATAGAGGACTTCTATACAATGAGGAGTGGGGTAGAATCACTGATCTGTATTATTTTACTGGATAGGATATAGGCTATATTTAACATACTAAAAAATCGTTCCACCAAGGAGACCGGAAGTGCAACAATGCTGGCCGATTTGGGCAAATTATGGTGTGTTCACACTGTTCACAGAACTGAAATTTGGGATAATTTGACATACCTAACCTATAATTTGATTAGTTTTTCTTCTTATTCTTCTTCTATTCCTTTTGCGGGCGATGTCCTTCGGGAAATTTCACCCATGATTTGATTTTTTATGAAAGAAAATATAAAAATGGAAACGTGAAGCATATTGTGTCTTCAGGAATGAACGTTTATTGTTTATTTCATACTCTTTTTACTTTGTTTTCCACAATAAAAACATCTCATCGTAGCTTGTTGACAGAATTAAATGACAAAAGTGATGACAAATGGAAATAGAGGTTACGTTAAATAACATCCGGTCCGCCATATTATTTGCCCAAATCGGCCAATTTTTTCGGAACGTTTTTTAGGGGGCTATATCCTATCCAGTAAAATAATACAGATCAGTGGGTAGAATGCTTGTCAATAGACTTGATGTGCGACTCTATGGGCAAAGATAGGTTATTTTTCTTCTCACTCGGGAGTATTTAAAATAACCATTTTCTATTTCAAATTGTTATTGTCTGATCCACCAGCTTGTGGATTGAACAATAACAATGTGAAACAGAAAATGGTTATTATAAATAGTCCCGAGTGAGATGAACAATAAAAATGGCTGCGCCCATCGAGTCGCACCAGGGCTGGTATATCTTGGAGTCGCACCTTGTTCTAAATAGTACAACATGTACAATGGCCGTGTTCATCGTCGTCAAACATGTTGTAACGCTGAGTAAGCGGTGACGATGAACTGTCAACCGCTGCAGCGCTTTTGAAGAAGCATAAAAGCGAAAATAAACTCGCTTGTTTGCTTTAAAAGCATAAAATTGACCTTGAACCCCTGTCAAATCCGTCTTTTGGCATTTTGTTAGGTTGTGTTTGTTTATTTATTTATATTTTTAAGGTTTTATACCCTAATAGAGTTGATTAGTTAAGTTGTATTTTAATATAATATTGTATTTATGGAGGTACCTGTTTGAAGAAAATAAAATTAATTCCAGACGTAGATATATACACATATGCTTAAATTATTTCATTTGGACGTTAATGGGATTCCACCAGTAAGGAATATGGATAATATAACATACCTACATATTATATAGTTTTAGCACAGAGTTATTCAAAACAGACGAGTTTTGTTATTAAAACTGCACGGATGTTTCTTGTTGGCATGTAATTAATGTATATAGCGCATTAAAAAATAAATAATAATAAAAGTATGACATTTTATTTACAAAATAAATTAAATATAAGTAATTATATTAAAAAGGACCCACCTTGGTTTGTTGAACCTATAAAAAAATACCTCATTACTGTATACATTTCAAATAATTTTTGCTAAGTCGCTCTACCTATATGACAACATTAAATTTGTATTTTTTAATTTCCAATACAAAATATATCATTCCTATAAAACAATTACTGTATGTAGTTTGTCGACAAGGTATGTATAACTCTATAATACTATACAAATTTTATTAATACATAAAAATAATTCAGACTCAATGAATATTAGCAATGACCAAAAATGTATAACACCTAAGTACCTACATAAAAAATACTTTGTAAAAAAATAAGTAAAGCATTAGATAGGGATTATTTTAACAATTCTCGGTTTTTGTAATAAAACTTTATCATTTCTTACCTCACAGCAAGAAGCCTGTAAATTTTAAAAGGCATAACAGCAATTTTTCATTATTTTTAATGTAGAATAACAACAGTAAGATTGTAGTAAAAGTAAAACAATAATATAATAAAAAAATGTATTAAAAATAAGTGAAATAACATAATTTTATGTTAATTTATTAAAAATTAGAAAAGCGAAATAAAACTTGTTAAGTGGGCTGATTTTCTATATTTTAGTTTTTAAATGGGAGTGGAACTGTTGACGTGACTTGTTTATGTTATGCTTGGCTTTCAATACTATAATACCTGAAATTAGGTAAGTTTTTTTCACTAGCCCATATTTATAAGAGATAACTCTTTTTTAATAGAATGCTTTGCATCATATCACCTTTTCTTTTGAAGCAGGACATTCTTGCGTTCTTTGGGGACAATGGTACACACAACTTGAAAGTGGGTTTGTCTTGCCTAAAGCGGGACTTATGATATTCGGTATTATGACTCAAAAATAAAAGTTTACTTCAGGTTCATTTTCATGTTTATCTCTTCCTCCTTTTTCGATTCAGTTAGTTTTTAACTGGTTTGAGACACATGCCTCAAGTTCTGGGCTGGAGTCCAGTTTAAATGATTACTAACTTCGAAGGAACTCTGTTTCCCTAAAAATAAGAAAGTCATACTTGATGTCTCTATTATTATACACTTTTATGTATCCTTGGTATATCTAAAAAGATCACTTTTTGAGATGTATATTATTGATATCATGAGTTCCTTTACTTTAATTTATTGGTGCAGACCAGACAGTTGATTAAACACAATACACAATAAATAGCGTTCTCATTCTGCTCTTCAAAGTATGATCTAGTTACAGTATGTTTTTATTTGTGTGTCAAAAAAATGTATTTTACCTGTAATAAAATGACTATTACAATTTCTTTGATTAGTCTAAGTATGTAGAATTCAAGATCCATAGAGGCAATAAAAACATCATGACTTTACAACCCAAAATAATACAAGTTGTAGGTTTTTCGCGGTAAAATTGTCAAAACCACTTTCAGAAGGGTACTTATATAAACTCTAATTCACTGTACAAATCAATTAAACTCAAATTTTTTAAAAAAATACTAAAGTAAACAATTCACATAACCTTCTTTGTGCCAACCAAATGTCATTCCATTTTTTGACAGATTTGAGGTTGAGAAAACAAATCGTAAACAAAAATGATCGTTCAGCGTCATTCCAACCGCTTATGAAACATGTTTCTTTGCTTTTAAAACATGTTTGACGACGATGAACACGGCCATTGGCATTCTACCCCCCTCCAGTTCATTGCTTCTATACAAGGGAAGTGCAACCAACTTGACAAAATAAAATTGACACTAATGACATAAGACATCGGGTCCCATAAAGAGACTGTTTTTTTGTTCAATTTTTGGTTTTTCTTATCTACTTTTATGCCATTTACATACCATGTTGTACCCGTAACGTAAAAAACACTTTTTATTTTAGGGTATTTTATATTTAAAGGTTGAAGACATTTATCAATATCAGCTGTCGATAATGTCAAAACATAAGCGTAGAATTGCGATTTATTTTTTTTATTTTTAATAGTAAATTTGTGTTTCTTCCGGTTTATTTAAACATTTTTTTCATTTGGTTTTATATATTTATGTCAAATGCAAAAATTCTGCTGCTACAAATGCAAGTTCCATACACTATTCAACCATATACAATACTAGTTACGTTATGCCCATCTGTAGTTACGCCTGTGTCCTACCAACAACATAATTGACAGCTGACACTGACAAATTTTTTCAACCTTAAAGATGTAAAATACCCTAAACTAAAAAGTCTTTTTTATCTTACGGGTACAACATGGTATGTAAATGGCAATAAAGTATATAGGAAAAACGAAAAAGTAAACTAAAAAAACAGCCTCCTTATGTGACCCGATTTCTTATGTCATGAGTGCCAATTTTATTTTGTTAAGTTGGTTGCACTTCTCTTGTGTACAAGTCCTCTATTGGCACATACAGTGTTCTGTGCAGTGTTGCCAGAATCACTACAATTGTAGTAGATTTACTACAATTTAATGGTTCTAGTACGTTACTACACTTTTTTAGTATCTGCTACATTTTTAATATTTCTACTACAATCTACTACATTTACATATTAGATCAATTTACTTTTATACTTCCAAGAAACCTAATTTCTGTTATTTTCTTCGCAAAAGAATGTTGGCGCAAAATATAAGTGGCGTACAAGCTCGTTTAAAAGAACTAGTCCCACACTTATTTGTCCTTGCCACTATTTTCACCTCTGTGCCTCAGCTACCCAAATCAATAGAGCACTTTGCCAGAGAAATTTACAATTATTTTAGTAACAGCCCCAAGAGATTCAAAGAGTTAGAACAGTTTCAATCTTTTTTGCAAATCAAACCAAACAAAATGTTACGTCCAAGTCAAACTCGTTGGCTTTCTCTTGGAATCGTGGTTAAACAAATTCTGGACAATTGGGCGCCATTAAAATTATATTTTCAAGGTGCTGTATTAGTAGACAAGTTACAGTCTTGCGAAACTATTTTAAATTTTACTTTTATTTTTTAAATTTTGTTTTAAATTTGATTAATAAAATTAACTTAATTTTTCAGTAAGAAAAACCAAAGATAACGACTCTCTTTCAGAGCATCTGTGATTACAGAAAGATTTTTATAAGGTACTTTTACGATGCTTTATAAAAAAAAGTGTAGTTGATTGTGCTCCTTTAAATGACATTGACCCGAAAAACAAAAAAATTCAGCTAGACCCTTCGTCTATGT